CAACCTCAGACCTCCTTATTACAAGCTTGGAAGATGAAAACAGTTCTCACTGAAATATGCAGTGGGTACCTATCAAGACAGAGTCAAGGAACAACAATGAACAAATGTAAGGACATGGACCTGCAGGGAACTCCACATGGAGACATATTCTTTTCTTTTCTTTCTCTTTCTTTCTTTCTGTCTGTCTTTCTTTCTTCCTTTATTTCTTTCTTTCTTTTGTGTGTGGTACCAGGGACCTAAATCAGGACCTTGCACTTGCCAGGCAAGCACTTATTCTACTGAGCTATCTCCCCAGCCACTGAGCCATTTCAATATACAGAGAAACAGGTTTGAGAAAGAAAAAGAAAAAAGGACCCTGAGCCCGTGTAGTGCGGGAGCACAGAAAGAGGTGCTGATCCGCGGAGCAACTACCCCTCCCAATCCCTTCTCCAGAGCCTCGCAGTATAAACATCCAGTCCAGTGTAGTCCAATGAATGCAGCAGGCCCTCACACTGACTGAGGAGCAGTTGGGTCTTGATCAGAATATGGCAAGATGCCCAACCTGAGAGATTCGAGAAAGATGTGGGTAACATTCCCTGGTGCAGCTTTGCCTAGTGGTCGTCTCAGATCTGCTGGTTACACATGGCTACCATTTTTTTTTCTTTTTTTATATGGCATAGATTTTATTGAATACTCACTTTTGTAAGCATTTTGAAAAATTTATTACTCTAGCATCTATTAAACCATTCTTTATTTCCTTTCTTTTGCCTTTGCTTTGATTGTTGTGGCTGGGATGGAACAGTGCTTTGTGTAGCCAAGAGCTCTGTCTAAGAAGCAGCTCTACCTAAAGCAATCACGTTCCACTTGTATTTTCTATTTGCTTGAATCTCTGCTTGACTGATGTGTTCAATAAGGGATAAATGAATATAGGCTGGTCGTTTTGTTATCCTTTGCATGTAGCAAGGTAAATTCCACATGGATGCCATCAAATTTCCTTCAGTTACAAAATGAATATATTTATATCATGGTTTGCCCATATGCCAATTAGCAGTAATAATATTTTAAAAAAATTTTTTTGTAGGACAGTTTCAATAATTAACACATTGCATACATTTTTCCTAGTGGTTAATTGCTATATAAGATGTGGACATGATATCCTATTTACAAACACTATTAGAACAAATCCCTCTATTCATTAAGAGAATGTAACTATATATCTACCCTAACCATTTTGAATATACAGATACAAAATGGACATTCATCTGTATACCCTTTTTTTGTTTAGTTCCGTTATTTGAATATTATAGGGGTGTTAACTCAGCAAAATATTCTAAAAGAGTCCAGTAGCCCATAATAGTATTGGGTCCTCCACTTCACTGACAATGTCAGAAATTGTTGACCTGAGTCCCCCACAGCTCAACATAACAGCATGGTTTTACTTCCTATATTTCATCTTTATACTTTTCTGCTGGATGGTTAAGACCAAGATAAAGCAGGACCTATGCAACAAGAGTTGTAGCTTTTGGGCACGGCTACCATTTTAGGAAGAAATAAAACAGAAACTTGTGGAGTATGCGGATAGGGTCCACCCAGGCAAGGCAAGAGAACACCAGCATATTTCAATATTTCAATGGTGAGAGAAGAGGGAGACTGAGGCAAAGAGGCCACACCTGTCCCTATAGGCACAATAAGCCAAGAACAGGAAGGACAGCTGTTCTCCAAACAGCATGGCTTATATAATGCATTGGCGCAGTAATGGTAATGGTGTGAGGCTTGCAAAGGCCCCAGATGCACATCAAACTTAAGAAGAAAGCGGGTAGGGCAGGTTTTATGAGCCCTGTCTTACTCATGGAAGAGCTACCAGCAGTGAGGTAAGATGACTTTCCAGCGTCACAAAGAGCTTGGACTTGAACCCAGCTTCGGGAACCCCAGTGCAGGGGACTTCCTCCCACCTTGCTCCAATGTCACCTCAAATTACAAGCTCACAACAATGAAATGCAGAGAAATGTCCAGAAAATCCGGGTTCCTGGCTTTCTAAAAGTTTATAGAGACATGAATATGGCCACTTTTTCCTGAAAAGATTTCCAGATTTTTCAAGCCAATAATGGTCAACTTTTCCTGAAGACTTACTATGACTACTTGAAGCACTTAGGTGAGACTATTCGGTCCTTGCAACAGCCCTCTGAGACAGTACTACTACTATTTTCACTTTACAGATAAGGAAACCGAGGCACACAAGCAACTTGCCCAAGGTCTCACAGGAAATAATAGAGCCAGCATCCAAATGTGAGGAAACTACCAACCCAGAGTCCAGGCCTTTTGGGAAATGACAGTCCCCTCACCTGCCAAGGAGAAATAAATGAACTGAGAGAAACTACAAAATAAAGCAAGCAGAACTTAAAAGAGGTCAGTACAGGGAAGAGAAATTACTAAAGAATAATGAAAACACCCTATTGTGCTGTTATAGCATTGAATAACTTTAGAAATAATTAGAAACTCCAGTCTTTAGAACCATCTGGTCCCTGCTTAAAAATGTCACCTCCTGAGTCTTTTTTTTTTTTTTTGGCAGAACCGGGGATTGAACTCAGGCCCTTGTGCTTGTCAGGCAAGCACTTATTCTACTGAGCCATCTCCCGGCCCCCCACCTCCTGAGTTTTGAAGAGCCTGTTTTTCTCTTTATTTTGGAGCTCTCAAGATCAAGAGCCACACATTTTCAGTGGTTTCTAAAGTAACCACGTTTTATATTCTCCCCTCATTTTGGAGAAGGAATACTGGAATATTTTTGGAACTGCAATCATTTTCAGAACCTTTGAGTTTTGCTTTGAAGCTACTGAACACAGACAATACGAGAGAACTGAGTGTTATTAAACTCATGAACCTCCAATGAGTCCTCCTTTATGCCCTTTTTTGAGTGAGAGCTCTTGTTCCTGAGAACTTGAGTGCTTCTTTACTCTGGAGCTATTTCAAAATGAACTTATTTCTTTACAAACCAAACCACACACAGATTGACAATTAGTTCGAATGACAGGTTCACAGTACAAAGCAGCACACAGGAAGAGAACCCCCTCTTGTGTAAGGTGGCCTCAGAATGCAGCAGGTGTTGGCATGAGATCAACAACCAATACTGTCCTTTTCAGCGCCTTCTTCTGCAGCTCGAACGTGCTATCTCGGTAGGGACAGAGCAAGCGACCAGAAAAGGACCTCCCTCAGTTTTTGAAATCAGTGCTTGCATTCAAGAAGGGAAAATGCATGTAAAAATAAGCCTGGGATGAACTTATCCAACAGGCACTCACGGGAGAAATGATGACTCCAGAGAATCTCCTAGATTCAGGCAGATTTACTTTTGGATTTATTTGCTTTAATGGAGCAGCAGCTGACAACCTAAAACTAGCAATTCAAAGCGATGCCTAAGTCACTCTCAATCACATTAGCCTGTTTTTGTCATTGTAGAGTTTCAGAGTTCTATTTTTTATAGCATTCACTTCTGCCAGAAAATATAGCACTGCTTATTTTTTATTGCCTGCCTCCCGTGCATAAACTCCACCAGGCCTTATCAGGGTGCACTCTGCTGTCTTCCCAGCGCTTAGACACACTGTTTAATGAATGAATGAAACCACCAACAACTTGATAAATACGAGTTAGACTTTAAAGGTAAGAAGACCAATCATGTAATAACTGTACTCATATTTAAAAGCACCAATGAACATTATTCACCTTCAAGCACTTCAGGAGCTGGCCATGTACACCATGTCTGAATTTCCCTCCATGGTGTGGAATCTCTTTAGGGTAGATTTGATTTTGTTCAGACAATCCCCAGAAGGGCAGAAAAAAAGTCACTCTGCATGAAACCTGTTGAATACCTGACTCCCCACTGTATACGCTGGAGGAAAGCAGAATGTGTGCATGTAAGTAATAAGCCTGAGGTTCTGAGGTGGTTCCGAAGGAAATCCAAGATGGTACGAACTACAGCAGAACTTCCGGCTCGGTGTGAAGGCTGTGTAAAGTGGATACTTCACAAGGAATAAAACTGTGCTGTGACGGTAAAAAGAACCCAGACGAGACAGAACTGAGACACCCCCAAGACTTGCCTTGTGCTAACAGCTTTGCCTTTAAGTTTCCGGGCTTGCCTTAGCCTCTGCGAGCCTCAGTTCCCTCATCTAGGAAACAAATCAACTACACGAACTTCAAGGTCCCAGTCAATTCTAAACTGCTACAATTCCACCCTCGCGATCGGGGTGGATCGCCTGGAGTTAAAATCCAGCACAATACACCTCGTCACACATTCGCTCACAAAGCCCCTAACAGGAATCTTTAGAGCAGATTCACTTCATATTTGCTTAGGCAAATACTAAAATTAGTTTTCACTTCCTGAGCGCAGCAAAAGACAGTTAAGGGAGGCAACCCCAGCCAAGAGCGCTTGCTCGTGCCTGTGCATACTTCCGACTGCGTATCAGGGAACTAACCGTTCCTCCTCAGATCTTTCCTCAACTGTTGCAAAAGCAGATAAAGCAGTGTGTGACACACAAACACCGGCCGAGAGCGGAGATTAAGGCTTCCCGGCCAGTGCTGGGCTGTAACCACTCCGCAGGCCCGCGGGCGATGTGGCGCGTACCCACCCCACGCCGAGGGCGAGGGCCAGGGCAAGGACCAGCTGCGGCGCGTCGCCGGGGACGCAGGGTGGACGCTTGGCCCGCCCGTCTCCCCGGGACGGGAAAGCAAGTACACACAGCGGCTGCGACGTCCGAGCCCAGTCTCCCGGGCCGCCAGCTCAATTCCGGTCCTGACCTTCGCCCAGGGAGAACAGGGGAAGTCGGAGGCACCTGCCTGCTGCTCGCCGGCCTCAACCCTCACCCGCGGGGACAGCGGAGGCGCCCGGGCGAACCCCACCCCCACCCGCGGGTGCGGTAAAGCCCCGGGCGACCCATCGGCCACGGGAGTCCCAACTTCCTCGTGTCCGCCCCCCATCACTGGTCCCCGCAGCACCCATCTCAGAGCCAGATCGCCCGTGAACGCGGACCCACCTCGGGATCCCGGCGCCACCGCCGTTGCCAGGCTGCTCGGCACCCGGGCCCTGCTCCGCCCCCTCCAGAGTTCGCCCCGCCCCCGAGGTATCCACGCCCCCGACCTCCGCCGGCTTCCCTCCTCCGCACGCTGGTTGGCAGAGATGCGTCACGTGACATGGGTGGGGTGGGCGGAAGACTCCTAGGGAGCCGCTCCAAGGGGCGGGGTTCTTCGTCCGCAAGGTTTCTGGGAAGCTCTTTTTGAAGGGTCCAGTTCGTGAAGGCATCTGGGAATTGTAGTTCACCATATGGTGCCGGGAGTGGGCAGGGCCAAGATGCCAGGGGACACTCCTGTGAGGGAAGTGGGAACCAGCGACCAGCGGAGGCGGCTGGGAAGCGTAGTCCCAGGACTCTTGTCTGGGGTTTGCTGGTTTTTTCCAATAAAGGGAAAGTCCACAGGGAAATCTTCCCTGGACAGAACTTTGTGGATGTCATTAATTTGAGCTATCACTGAGTCCATAGGACTGGCTGCATAAAGTTGAGATACTATGAAAGAAAAATAAAACTTTAACTGACTCTGGTGTAAGGGCTGCAATCCACAAACCCATCTAATATAATGGCTGGGGTGTCCCTCCTGTGGTACAACATCTTCCCAAGAACGCTTCTGGGACTTAATGAAAGGATATATTTCAGTTCAAAATTTCTTCATTTTGACGTTTGGGTTCCATGACCATTAATACAGTAACTAGAAAGCGAAAGGGAAAAAAGAAGACAAACCCGCAGACAATTTTCTGTGCAATCCAATAAAGCAATCTGGCACATCGAAGAATGTGCATAATATCCCTTGTGCCGCATAATAATTATACATGAGCACTTTGAGTAAATAGGATTATTTTATCATGATCTTTTTCACTCTTATAAGTATTAGTTCTTTGGCATCTAAAAATATGTGTTTTGCCTGATACTAGAAATAAGCAATTCATAAGTCTTAATTTCATGCCATTCTGAGGCAATGGAACCAATGTCCAGATCCTTCTTCCTTAGGACATGAATCGTCCCTTTGTCCGACTGTATATACTACTGGATCCTCGCTGGACACAACTACTGGTCCGCTAGTCACTTAGTAGCTGCCTCAGTTATCAGATCGAGGGTTACCATATTACAGTGCTTGGGTCCCAGTGGCCCTTATTCTACCTAATAATGGCCTCAAAGTTCAATAGTAATGCTACAATTTTATTAAAGTATATTGTTATAATTGTTGTGTTTTGCTATTGTTGTTGTTAACCTCTGCCCATGCCTAATTTATCAATTAAACTTTATCATAAGCATATGTACATAGGAAAAAGCATACATATCAGATTGGTACCAACCAGGGTTTCAGGCACCAAACAGACCGGGCTGTATCCCTCAGGATAAGGGGGATCACAGTGTGTCCTAGCGGAGAGCCAAGACTTCTTCCATGAGTATCAAGGCCTTCTGAATCCTACCCAACCCAGTTCCTCCAGGGTGCCTCTACTCTGCTCACCCCAAGTTCTGGTCTGCTTACAGGGAACTTTTTTCCATTCCCTGGATGCTTCGGGTTCTTTTTTCTCTCCAGCCCTTCCTACTTTCTCCTTTCTCCGGGATTGGCCAATCTCCAGAGAGAGCAGAATAGGAGTCCTTCCTGGCCCGGGCCAACTCAGAAGTTCCCCCAGAGCCTTTGTGGTTGTACTGATGTCATCATTTCCCTGGGAGTCTGCCCTGCCAACTCCCCTCTCCAGACGTGAACTTCTTTGAATCACATTCACATTTGTGCTGGCTTTCAAAGCTTGCTCATTAAATCTGCATGCCGGAGAGGCTCCCTGGTGGGCTACTGACTGGATTCCCTGCCTCTGTGTATCCTGGGGCAGAGTAATAGAAGAAAGTGTGGATGAGTCAAGCAAAGGCAACAACAGGGCCGGAGCCCTTGTAACTAGCAGGTATGAGTTAAGTGTATAAGAGGTTCAAGTCATTGGTCAAACTGGGGTGTACAGAATGGGTGACAGTGTTCACCCTAAAAGGGACTTTTCCCAGGGTCCAGCTGGGTCCTGCCTCAATTGTCAGAGGACGAGGTCTGAACAGAAAGGGGCTGTAGAGAAGAGACACTTCTGCCTCTGAACTAGAGACTATGGCCCGTGCTGTGTCTGCCTCACATTAAGTGCAGAGATCAAATAAATGAACAGATGTGAAAGCGCTTTACCACCCTGTTGTTGGCAAGTTTGTGGGATTCCAGACCAAGTCCTGCCCTCCTCTGAGTGGGCTCTGTGTGTGTGTGTGTGTGTGTGTGTGTGTGTGTGTGTGTGTGTATTGTGAGTTTCTTGGGCTTTCCTGCATTTTATGCATACCTTCCCATGGACTGGGGAGATGACTGACACCCCAGTCTGGGACTGCTGGACACTCAGGATGCCCTGGATGCTCCTGGATGCAGCACCGGGTGTGACATGAACCTGCTTGGTGTGTGTGTGTGTGTGTGTGTGTGTGTGTGCTTTAAACAATTTATTTAACTGAAATGGACTTACATTTGTTTCTGAAGTGAGTTCCATTCATTTTGATACATTTTTCCCCATAATGATTTACAGGATTTTCAAGCCAATATAAATATTTTATAAATATTTGAATATTTGGGTACACACCTGCACAATACCTCAGCAATATCTTTCAGCAAGAAACACCCTGAAGAGTAAAGGCTAGACACAATTACTAGGTACAGTGAAAATCTGCTGCAAATATTTCTGAGGTAAGAAGGCACCACATACCTGTTCAACTCAGAAAACCACCCTTACAGCACAGGATGATTTTATTTTTATGTAGGACCTAGAACACTTAAGCTTCTCTGACAAATTTTCAAAGCTATACACCCCACTGCTTTTGGTAAGCCCCAGGCTGGAGGCGCCTCTTGCTCTCCAGGGTTCTATCCTGTTCTCTGGGGTTGGGGAATGGAGAAGGTACAACCAGAGAGAGCCCCTGTTCTTAAGAAGCAGGCAGGAGAAAGGGGTGCCTGCTCTTCTGCCTTAGCACACCTACCACGTGAGCCCCTATGTGACCCCCCCTCCCGGTTCCCACTTCCAGCTCCTAGGACCCAAGAGTGGGAAGGTGGAGGAAGAGGTGGGGCCCCGTCCTTAGGGAGGAAAAAGGAGGCAGAAGACAAGCAATCAGAATGAACAGTTCACAAAGTAAGAGTGAAGCATCTGTGATACCCCAGCAAAATGCAATCAGAACTGGGTCCGAACAATTCAACAGGCAAGCCAGTGACCCTAAAAGAGCCTCTTGGTCCTTTCTCACCACTGGGTGCTATCTCTGCAAAAGGGGCCTGGGGGCCAGACTATAGCTCAGGAGCATAAGCACCTGTCTGGCAAGTGCAAGGTCATGAGTTCAATCCCCAGTACCAAAAAAAAAAAAAAGTGAAAAAGGGTTCACATGCAACTTCCCACCACAGCTGTGTCTTTACACAGTGAGGCTACGTGGAAGCAGGTCAAGGTGGCAGCATTCCAGAGCTGCAGCAACACTGCTCCCAGGACGCTGGGCAAAGAGCAGGAGCAGGGGCTAAGCCGCTAGGCCCTGGCATGCAAGGCCCCGGCTTCAAATCCTAGCTCTCCTTGTTAGGTGTGGCTCTGAGCAGGCATTTCTCTCCATGCCTCCATTTCCTCATGTGCAGCGTGAGGACATTAGTCTCTACTTCATAAGTTTGTTGGGAAGAATAAACAAGCAATGTCCAAGACCTGCTTGAGCAGAACAGCAAAGCAAGTGTTCCTACCTCTCTCTCCCCACCCTAGCCCATATTTACAGCTCCAACAAAGTGGTGCAGCCCCTCTGGAAATGGCTCGGCAGTGAACTGTGAAGCTAAGTGCACACACAACCCAGTAATACCATTTGAGGTATGTATCCAAGACACAAGGAAACGTATATTGACAAATGAGTTGTATTCAAATATTCATAGCTGTCTTTCAAATATAGTAGTCAAAAAGGTAAGCAGCTCAGATTCTCATTGCTAGTGGATGAGTAAATAAATCTGTACTGTACATACAATGGAATTTGGTTCAACAATAAAAAGGAAGTATTGATCCATGCTGCAACATGAGTGAATCTCAAAAATGTCATGCTAAGCAAAATAAATTACATACAAAGTACTACAGACCCTATGATTCCATTTATATTATAGTTTGCCTGTCTTTGCAGTGTTGGGGGTGGAGCCCAGGGTCTCAGCATGCCAGGCAAGTGCTCCACTGCTGAGCTGTGCCCCAGCCCTTCATTATAATTTGGAAATGACAAAACTACAGCGACTGAAAGCAGATTTGTGGGATTTGAATCAAAAGTCAACCCAGAGGTATGGGAGGGAATTAATTCCCAAGGGGAATAAGGGGGTGTTTGGGGTGTGATGAAAATGTTCTTTTTTGGGGGGAGAAGGGTCTACGGGGTTTTCAGGGTCTCACTACTAGAACACACTCGTAGTGATCCATCTGTTTACAGCCTCCCAAGAGCTGGGATTACAGACGTGCGCCACCACACCCAGTCTCAATTGCCATCTCAGCGCACCGGGGGTGGGGCCGGCACAGCAGGCCTGGGGATTGAAGCCCCAGCCCCTGCACCTGCTTGTGGGCACTTTAATCCACTGAGCTATTCGGCCGGCCCTGAAAATGGTCTATATTTTGATTGTGATGATAATCTTGTGCAACTGTACACAATTGGTCGAAGTCATTCAGCTAGAAACATGACATGGTTGCACTTCATTGCAGATAATTTATACTTCAATACACTTTATGTGAAGGGGGTGGGAAGGTAGCCTCCATTAAGGTTCTGAGGCTGCCCAGAGTGGTCAATCTTTCTTTTGCTTGTTTGTTTTCTAAGAGGTTCAAGGCCTTGACAAAGCAAGGAAGGGAAGGTTTGCCGTCCGCGTACCAGGGCTGTGCTACACAGCAAGAGCTTGAGTGGATTCGGGGCAAACGACCCACCAGGAGAAGGTGGAACCCAGCCCAGAGGGGTGGGACATGGAGTGCCTACCTGGATGGAGGACGCCTAAGTGCGGTCTCTGGAGAGAGGGAGCATTATGTTCGTGGGCCAAAGAG